GACCCCAGGATCATGACCTGAGCCAAAGGCAGACACTTAACTGACTGAGCCACCCAGGCGCCCTGGGACAAAGATTAACTTTAACAATAATAACTGATGTTGGCAAAGGTACAAAGAAACGAGCACTCTCAAATGCTACTGATGAAAGCACATATCAGTATTGTCTGTGCAATTTAGGAATATTTTGATAAAATTAAAAAAATATATATATATATATGTATTGACTCAAAAATCGTATTTGTAGGGTGCCTGGATGGCTTAGTCGCTAAGCGTCTGCCTTAGGCTCAGGTCATGACCCCAGAGTCCAGGGATGGAGCCCCATTATCGGGCTCCCTGCTCAGCGGGGAGCCTGCTTCTCTCTCTCCCTCTCCCCCGCTTGTGTTCCCTCTCTCACTGTATCTCTGTCAAGTAAACAAGATCTTAAAAAAAAAAAAAAAATCGTATTTATAGCAATTATGTCCTTGTCCCTCCACCCTAGAGATCAGCCACTCTCCTGACTTTTATTATCATTTACTTGCTTTCTTCTTATTTTTGCCACTTATATATGCATCCTGGATCAGTTATAGCAGGTTAAACTACTGCAACGAAAAGAACATAATGGCTCAAACACAAAAGAAATGTAATCCTCTTAGGGTAGACACTGCAGGTTTCGGAGGTCAACGCTATCAAGAAACTCAGGCTGATGACAGCTCTGCCATTACAACACATGACTTCTAATACTGCTTTGATGAATGCCATCCTAGCCCATGGAAGAAGACAAGGGCACTAACCAGATACAGAGGGACACCTGGGTGGCTCAGTCAGTTAAGTGTCTGCCTTTGGCTCAAGCCATGATCCCAGGATCCTGGAATTGAACCCTACCATCGGGCTCCCACTCAGCAGGGAACCTGCTTTTCCCTCTGCTTGCTCTTGCTCTCTCTCTCTCTCTTTCTCTCTGACAAATAAACAAAATCTTCAAAAAAAAAAAAAAAAAAGGAACCAGGTACAGAAGCAGCGCAATTCCACTCCATACCAGGGAAGAAAACTGTGTCACATGTGTGCAAACCTAACTGCAAAAAAAAAGGCTGGGAAGTGACATGTAGTTGGGCAGTCATGTGCCAACTGTAACTCTATTACTATGGAAGGAAAGAACAAATTTTGACGGACAGATAGTAATACTGCCACACATCTGTAAACAATATGGCTGAATTTTGTCTGGTTTTAAACTTTAAATGAATGGAAACATACTATGTGATTCTTCTGTATCTGGCTTCATTTTTTTGTGCTTATGCTCTTTAGAAAAAACTGTCTTAGGGTACCTGGGTGGCTCAGTGGGTTAAGCCTCTGCCTTCGGCTCAGGTCATGATCTTAAGGCCCTGGGATCTAGTCCCGCCTCAGGCTCTCTGCTCAGCAGGGAGCCTGCTTCCCCCTCTCTCTCTGCCTGTCTCTCTGCCTATTTGTGATCTCTCTCTGTGTGTCAAATAAATAAATAAAATCTTTAAAAGGAAGAAAGGAAGAAAGAAAGAAAATGTTCAGGCTGGGACTTATACTACCTGAGCCATAGAGCCCCAGAATTACAACTTCACTAGTAAATCACACCTTCTAGACTCCTCTTCCTCATACACAAATAAAGAGTTCATTAATGTGCTCTTAATCTCTGTGACTGATCATGCTACCTACTCATCTTTAGTCAATTATGTTATTTCCACAGCTTTTATCATGAATTTGCACTGAGCCAGTCATTCCACTAACTCACTTTTCCCCAGAACTCCCTTTCCAGCAACACTACTAATGAACATTTGCATAATGGCTGCTTGGGGTATGGGATATCTTTTAGATCCAGCAAGCACAGCAACATTAACTGGTTTGAACTTAGGCCTTTATGACCCTGGCCTCATTAACACTATATGCTAACTAAGCTAACTCACCAAAGACACTCTATATAAAATATTTAAAGCTGATTACTAAGCTATTTGCTTCTAAGAGGATATTTCAGATATTTTTTCTTCTCCTATCAGTGGTTGTCTCAGGATTCAGGAACTGAGTGGATAGAGGAACAAGGTGAGAGGGAAGCACACTTTTTGTGATCGTTTTAAGACAGGTCCACAAATTCTTCGCTAGTTCTCTCTCCAAAAGGTGGGGCCTAATTTCCCTCTCTAGAGGGTAGGCTGTATATGGTGGCTCACTTCGACTAAACAGAAAGTGGTAATAATGTAGGTGACTTATGAAGCTCGATCATAAAAAATACTGAGGCCTCCGTGTGTGTGTGTGTGTGTGTGTGTGTGTATGTGTGTGTGCGCATGCACACGTGTGCATATCTGTCTCATCATTGACAGAAGCTAGTTGCCTAATCAGGAAGACACTCAGGCAGCCTTAGAAAGAGGTCTATAAAGTGAAAAACTGAGACATCCTATGAAAGCTGGGTACCAGCTACTGAGACCTACCAGCAGCTGTTTGAGTGAGCCACGCTAGAAGCGATTCTCTCAGCCCCAATCAAGCCATTGGATGACTATACCTTCAACCAAAAGACTGACTACAATTTCATGCAACCCAAACCGGAACCATCCAACTAAATTACTCCTAGATTTTTGACACGCACAAACTATATAATAAATACTTATTATCATTTTAAGTCACAAAGTTTTTTTTTTAAGTTTATTTATGTTTTTTAGTAATCTCTATACCCAGTGTGAGCTGCATGTTCTACCAACTGAGCCACCCAGGTGCCCCCTAAGTTACTAAGTTGCTCTTTTTTTAAGATTTTATTTATTTATTTTAGAGAAAGAGCACATGACTCAAGGGAGGGGCAGAGGAGAGGAAGAGAATCTCAAGCTGACTCCACACTGAGCCTGAAGCCCCATGCAGGGCTGGATCTCACAACCCTGAGATCATGACCTGAGCCAAAACCAAGAGTTGGACACTTAACCAACTGAGCCACCTGGGCCCTCCCATAAGTTACTAAATTTTGAGGTACTTCATTATATAGACAAGAGATAATTAATACATATATATATATATATATATATATATATATTTTAAACTTTTGGTTTTGGTGCCATTTATACATATTTTCTAGTTTCAAAAATAATTAGCTTTAAAAACCTCTTTCCCAAACGTAATTTTCTCACTCAAATTATACTAGCTTCTCTAAATTAATAGAGCCCATTTTTGGAAATGTTCTCTGTTAAAGACCCCCTCCCCTCAAAAACACAGTAAGAACTACAAACTGGTACTCTTTTAGATTCTATTAGAAATATTTTCTTAAGGGTATATTAAGATCCTGGGCATGCTATCATGCTCATCAGGTGGTGGCAAGATTTCTGTATTAGGGCCAATACTCCTGCAATATACAATTGGGTGCAGTGCAATATCAGTGGTTCAAAAGGAGCTTGCTGACACTTTCAGGCTCAACTCTCACCTTAGAATAAAACATATAAACAGAACTCATGTTCAACCACAATCACAAAAGGAACATGTTACTGATCCAAGTTGTTCTCTTTTTTAACCCAAGTTTTATAGGTTTAAATGGGCTATGCTCTTCAAATTAATCTAAAGAATTTTCCTCTTTAATTCCTTTTTTTTAAGACGGGGGTGTGGTGGGAAGAGGGAAAGGCAGAGAGAATATTCTAAGCAGGCTCCATGCCTAGTGCGGAACCTGACACCGGGCTCAATCTCACAACCCTGAGATCATGGCCTGAGCCAAAATCAAGAGATGGACCCAGAAATCCCATGGATTTTTCCTATTCAATTTCAATCTAGCAACTATTTTCCTTTCATGAACTAGCAATGAATACAAAGTAATTGAAATAAAATAAAATAAAACCAATTTTTAAGGAATATATCACAAAACAGTGTTATGATGAAAAATTAAACATAAAATCTTTTGTGAAGTGCATTAAATAAAGCTATCTTGTGACATTATGTCACAAGAGTTGTATTATGAAGTATACAGAGGGGCACCTGGCTGGCTCAGTCAGTAGACCATGACACTCTTGATCTCGAGTGGTAAGTTCAAGCCCACGCTGGGTATAGAAATTACTTAAAAATAAACACCAACCAAAAACAACAACAACAAAAAAAAGAAGTATACAGAAATTTAATCGACACTTTCAGGAATGAGAGCAGGGAATTTTAGTAAATAACTTTGCCTACTATATACTAATCATTCAGTTATTAGTTTGATTGTTTGATAAGTGGGTCATACTAATTCAAATTTTTCAAAATCACTTGGTGTTAAACGGCTCTGTCACTTAATAGCTGTATGACCTTGAACAAGTTGTTTAACTTCCCTGCCTCAGATTTCTCATCTGTTGAAGAAGATAATAGTTCCTATGGCATAAGGTAGTTGTAATAAACCAGGTAATTCACAACCATAAAATCACACAGTAATACTCACCCAATAGTACTCAACAGTCGTAGTATTAGTAGACTATGTATATTTGGAAAGCAATATTCAGAAAGTATTTAGTTTTAATAAGTCTAATTTTATTATTGAAGTGATCAGGTGAAAAACAGATGATGGGGGAAAAATGCACCAAAGGAGAAACAAGAGTTAAAGAAATCCTAGATTTCAAGCCCACTAAATTTCATAATATATAGATTTGACAAATGTATTCATCAAATGTCAAGTCATATCTGATAATGACCGCCTAGCTCTCAACATTCTTGAGCTATCCAGAACTCCATGGTTTTTTATAAGGCACCAGAAAGTAAAACTGATACTGAAAAGCATGATTTGATCAAGATTCTGACAAAGAAATAAAATGATTCTAGTTTTAAGTCAGCAAAAACACTAGAACAAGAAGAACAAAAATAAAGACGGGAAGGTGTTTTGGCTAATACTTCGAAGTCTCCCTTAACTACAACTCACCTTCTTTTCATTGTTTTTTTAATCACACTAGTTAAATGGCTTAAAAACACCTTTTGTTAAAATGCTTTTAAAAAGCTGAAGACAGAGAGGAGCACAAATGATCAACTAAAAGCAATTAAACACATTCAGAAAGCCACTGATGAATTCTTACCACCATAAAATCGAAGCATACAGCCAAGGTCAGGATCTGTTGCCTCCTCCTGTATACGCACAGGGTCATCAAATCCCAGCCTGGATAAGTAATCATACACAATCTGAAGAGGTCGTTCAGTAGGTTCCAGTCTCCTGCTTACACAATTCAAAAGAGAAGTATTCAGTAAGAAATAAAAATGCTTCATTTAATATTTATAATCTTTTAATATGTTCTAGATTTTTACTTCTGTATCAAGATTTTCTTTAATATCAGATGATACAACTAATCTAAACAGGAAGTACTCAGAGGTTTTGGTCTCAGGACCCCTCTTTAGTCTTTGAGGACCCCCAAAGAGCTTTTGTTTACATGGGGTATACCTACTGGTATTTACTCAATGAGGAGCTCAAATTAATGATTTCCAAATAATGGGGATGCCTAAGTGGTTCAGTCGTTTGAGCTGCCCACATAATCAGAGATGCAGTCTTTGAATTGCCTACTGCGTCTCAGGTACTATGTTTTCCACTGGCTTCAGAGATGATTCTTGCATAAAAATTAGGAGTGAATAATTCCCCAGAAATCATTCTACCACGTGGTCCCAAATGAAAGCTAAATTAAAGTCAGAATGTCTAGTAATTATTTGTGGCCTCTGGTGACACTGCACATTCTAAATCATATAGACCTAAAACACTTAAAATACGTAAATATTAAAATTTTTAGGGGCATCTGAATGGCTCAGTCATTAAGCCTCTGCCTTCAGCTCAGGTCATGGTCCCAGGGTCCTGGGATTGGGCCCTGCATCAGGCTCCCTGCTCAGCGGGAAAGCCTGCTTCTCCCTCTCCCACTCCCCCTGCTTGTGTTCCCTCTCTCACTGTGTCTCTGTCAAATGAACAAATAATATCTTTAAAATATATATATATATATATATATATATATATATATATATATATATATAAAACAAAAACCTTCCAGGCATATTTTGATAGAAGGGACTACATCAGTAATAACACAAGACAGCCCTTTTACAATTGTTTTATCAGAAAGCAAATAGTTATAAATCAATACAGTCACTAAGAGTATAGGCTCCAAAAGTCAGACTGCCTGGGTTTAGTCTTAGTTCTGCCATTTATTTATCAGCTGTGTGCCCTTGGACAATTTATTCAACCTGTCTTAAATTCCTCATCAGTATAATGGGAATACAATAGTACTTAACTCACCGAGTTGTTATTAAATATACTTACTTACAAGATATTATATAGTAACTAAAGTGTTCAGCAAAACATCTTATATATAATAGTATTTAATAACACACTGATGACTTACGCAAAAAAATTCTTAGAATTTTAATTTTAAATTAGAAATTTTATTTAATTAGAATAAAAACAGAATTATCTCCCCCATCTGAAACAATAACCAAGAAACAAGTATAGGAAACCACCACATGTGTGCTCAAAAGGTCTTGAAGAGGAGTGCCTGGGTAGCTCAGTGGGATAAGCATCTGCCTTTGGCTCGTCATGATCTCAGGGTCCCACGAGTCAGGATCCCTGCTCAGCAGGGAGTCTGCTTCTCCCTCTCCCTCTGCTCCTCCCCCTAATCACATTCATGCTATCTTCTTCTCTCTCTCTCATAAAAAGATTAAATCTTTTAAAGGGCCATTCGTCTTTATGTCTTAAAAGGATTCAATCTTAGGAACGCCTGGCTGGCTCAGTTAGTAGAGTGTGTGATACTTGACCTCAGGGCCATCAGTTTGAGTCCCATATTGCGTGTAGAGATTACTTAAAAATAAAATCTTAAAAAAAAAAAAAAAAAAAAGAGGGGAACCTGGGTGGCTCAGTTGGTTAAGCTTCTGCCTTCAGCTCAGGTCATTATCCAGGGTTCTGGGATTGAGCCTTGCTGAGCAGAGAGTCTGCTTCTCCCTCTCCCTCTGCCTCTGCCTCTCCCCCTCCTTGGGCTCTCTCTGTCTCAAATGAATAAATAAAATCTTTAAAATAAATAAATAAATAGAAAACTTAAGAATTGTATTAATTACAAGAAACATGATACACCTCCCATCACTGCAAAAAGATATGAAGGACATCTGTGTTTTATGGTGAAAGGAGTAGAAAATACTATTGGCAATAAGATTTAAGTAAAACTAACATGAAAATAGTAATACTACAAAGCTGAATGTAAACAACTACCAAAATTGTAGAGACTACTTTCAGGCAACAGGCCTCAGCAATGGAAACTTGAGCAAGGCAAAAGGGCCCACAGCAACTACCAAGCTGACACTAACAGGCTCTCATCAAGCCACAGGCCCTGATCGACCATAGTCACTTATAAGCAGGCATACTTCTTAAGATCACCAAAAAAGGTAAAATTCCATACGTCTCATATTCCCTCATTCCAACCTATAACTACAACTTCTGCCCATCACCTGTGGCAGTCTCTCCTTTGCTGTCCGGCCTACTACTTCACTGCAGCGTACTCAATAAACTTCTACCTCTTTTGCTCTGCCTTGCATGACTTCTTCCACTGGCCACACCACCAGCCCCCATCCAATCAGAACAGCCCACAAAAAATGATAATTTAGGAATATAAATCATACTGATGAGCACAAAAATAAACAAAAATAAAACAACTACTTGGCCCCTCCCGACTGCTCAGTGCAGACTTTTATCCATAAACTCAGAACTACTACATGAGGTATGACCAAGAATTAAAACCCTACAAAGACAAATAAATACTGAATTTAATAGAAACAAAAAATTAACTTTTCAGAATAAAAACATCATCAATTACAACCAATCTCTAGTCAAACAAAATAAAAATTCACAAAGGATTACAGTGATATTAAGCACTTTCCCAGTACAGTGGTAGAATTCTTCTAAGGAGGATGTATTGTAAGAGGGACTTCTTTTTTTTTTTTTTTTAAGATTTTATTTATTTATTTTTCAGAGAGAGAGCGAGAGTGAGAAAGTGAGCGAGCACAAGCAGGGGGAGTGGCAGGCAGAGGGAGAAGCAGGCTCCCCACTGAGCAGAAACCCCAACGTGGGACTCAGTCCCAGGATCCTGGGATCATGACCTAAGCCGAAGGCAGACACTTAACTGACTGAGCCACCCAGGCATCCCTGTAAGAAGGACTTCTTATAAGCTGTATTCTGGAGCGGTCAATTAGCCATGTAACCTGAACACTGAAGGATTAACTTGAAGACAAAGGCATAAAGAGCTATCTCTCTCTTCCACTGTCAAGAAGGATTAGACTTATTCTGGATCACTCCAAAGAATGGAATTAGGAACAATGAAAAGCTGCACAGGTAAACCTGGATCAAAAATGAGGAAGAACTTTAATAATTAGAGATGACCAATAATGAAAGAGACTGATTCTCAAAATAGCTCATGGAAGGCTAGAGAACCACCTGTCACAGGAATTTTAGATAAGAGTCTCCTGAAAGAATCAGGTTGAGGCACATTTGGGTGGCTCAGTCAGTTATGTGTCCGACTCTTGATCTCAGGGTTGTGAGTTCAGGCTCTACACTGGGCTCCACGGTGCGTGTGGAGCCTACTTAAAAAAATAAAAAATTAAAGGGGCGCCTGGGTGGCTCAGTGGGTTAAAGTCTCTGCCTTCGGCTTAGGTCATGATCTTAGGGTCCTGGGATCAAGCCCCGCATAGGGCTCTCTGCTCAGCAGGGAGCCTGCTCCCCCCACCCCCCACCTCTGCCTGCCTCTCTGCCTACTTGTGATCTCTATCTGTCAAGTAAATAAACAAAATCTTTTAAAAAATAAATACATAAATAAATAAAAATTAAAATTAAAGAATCAGATTGGGCCAGATGATCTTTAGGGTCTTTCCGAACTCAAGGGTCTATGAGGTATCCAAGACACCCTCCTAATATAAATGTAAATTCTGCTATTATTTTTAGATACAGAGTTCGATGTACTTAAATATCATAATTCCATATAATGATCACATAGCCAAGACCAAGAAATGATATATTCAGGTTAAATCTCACCAGCTCCATTTTTCAATTTCTGTCTAGAAAATCAAGAGAAATGGAAACATCCTAATTCTGCATTTTTTACATGATCAAATTTCCTTCCAAAAGGGGCTCTGTAGACTTTGAAACCCTGTTTATACATTCCCACCTAAAGAAAGTCATGATCCTGGGGACTTGGGATCGAGTCCCTGCGTCCGGCTCCATGGTTGGCGGAGAGCCCATTTCTCCCTCTCCCATTCTCCCTGATTGTGCTCTCTCTCATTCTGTCAAATAAATAAATAAAATTTAAAAAAAAAAAAAAGAACAAGAACAACAACTCAATCTCTAGCTACCTATAGAGGTAAAATCTGCAAATGTTAAGATTAATAATACAGGGGCGCCTGGGTGGCTCAGTGGGTTAAAGCCTCTGCCTTCGGCTCAGGTCATGATCTCAGGGTCCTGGGATCGAGCCCCACATCGGGCTCTCTGCTCGGCGGGGAGCCTGCTTCCTCCTCACTCTCTGCCTGCCTCTCTGCCTACTTGTGATCTCTGTCTGTCAAATAAATAAAATCTTTAAAAAAAAATTAATAATACAGATAATACTAATACAAACAGCAATACTAAGGATACTTCAATGAATGTCTACTCCATGCCTGACTCTATGCTGAAAAGTGCTTAACGTTTTATAAAGTTATGTCTGTTTTGCAAATAAGGAAAGTGAGATTCAGAATCACACAATGAGTACATAGTGGCATCAAGGTGTGCTGGTTTCAATAAAAATCCTAGTTTCTTTTGGGTAAACCACATTATTTTATATAGTTAAAATAATCTATCCAGAAGAGAGCTCAAAACACTTCATATGTTAACTTACACCAAAGAACCAAAAGAGTTATGTTTTAAAATTATTGTATTCCAGGCTATGGGGCGCCTGGGTGGCTCAGTGGGTTAAAACCTCTGCCTTCGGCTCAGATCATGATCTCAGGGTCCTGGGATCAAGCCCTATGTCAGGCTCTGCTCGGTAGAGAGCCTGCTTCCTCTTCTTTCTGCCTGCCTCTCTGCCTACTTGTGCTCTCTATCTGTCAAATAAATAAGTAAAATCTTTAAAAAAAATTATTGTATTCCAGGCTAATATGTCATTTGAAAGATACACTACCTTTGTGTGCATCATTGTATAATACAGAATCTTACACTAGTCTTCC